AATCAGTTGCTTTGCCTCTCTCTTGTGGAGTACCACAAGGTTCTGTGGGCGGGCCCACTCTTTTCTCAATTTATTTAATTGGATTGCGACAAGTTTTGTTACAACATGGCATAGATTATCATATTTATGCAGACGATATTCAACTTATGATTTCCTTCAATTCAGATCAAGCCGCTGCAGAACGAGCCGTTCATCGCCTTGAATCTTGCATGGCTGATGTTCTTGATTGGTTGCTCGCACATTCCTTGAAATTAAATTTAGACAAATGTGAATTCCTTATATTTGGTTCCAAAGTACAGCTTAGTAAAGTTAATATTAATTGCATTTCATTTTCTGGCCACATAATTCACTTGTCACAAACGTGTCGCAATCTCGGTGTTATGTTTGACTCACATATGACAATGTCTAACCAAGTTCTTAATATTTGTAGATCTGTAAGGTACCACTTGCGTAATATCGGTTTTATTCGTAAATATTTGTCCAAGTCTGCCACCGAAAAATTAGTTCATGCTCTGATTTCCTCCCGTCTTGATTTTGCCAATGCCCTCCTAATCAATCTACCCCAGAATCTAGTGTCCAAGCTTCAGAAGCTTCAAAACGCTGCAGCTCGTATTGTTTCTCTGTCCACCAAGCGTACCCACATTTCCCCAGTTTTGCAGTCGCTACACTGGCTCCCAGTAAAAGATCGCATTGTTTTCAAAATTTTGTTGCTCACCTTTCATTGCGTTCACGGCTCTGCTCCTCAATACCTTATCTCTCTAATCCAAAACTACACTCCTGCAAGACCTCTACGCTCATCCACTTCCAATTTTCTTGTAACCCCCAAAATTACCAAAACGTGGGGGGAAAGATCTTTTGCATACTCTAGTCCTAAATTATGGAATGGCCTTCCTGAAGACATCAAAAAATGTTTATCCTCCGATTCTTTCAAAACTCATCTCAAAACATTTCTTTTCAAGTCTTGATCTTTTTTCCTGTTTACACGCGCCTTGAGCACTCCACAGAGTGGATTTGGCGCGATATAAGTTACATTATTATTATTAATTTAACCTTTTCATTTTTTTGGCCTGCAAAAGGGACATAGTACCTTTAAGGGAGATAGAAGTTGAGCATATAATTTTATTTTTGTCCTAGAGCACACAAGCTCCAGTGCACACGCATGTGCAGTGTATTGCAAATAATATTTGAATCCTTTTTTTTTCCAGTAATTTATTCTACACTGTATAATGTTCTCATCGTATATACAGTGTATTCACTGTATGAAGGTGTCTATGAAGCATTCAGGAAGTGAAAAGAGAATGGGTGAACTAAATAGATGGTGGGGGCAACTTTTGTAATAATCTGAATACACATTCAGTACAGTAAACTGTTCCTCAACAGGTTTTTGGAATACAAACAAATCTTTAATTTTATTGCAAATTATGACTGATTGATTAAAGAATAGTTGTTCTTAATTTCAAACACATAAACCATCAATCAGTACATGTACATGTAGCTCTTCACAAGTTTAACTTTGGTATTTATTTACCCACTACCGGGTAGTCATATACTGTTTTCACACTGGCAATATTTTGCTTAACCCCGTACTATAGGTGGGGTTAAGGGGGGGTCTTAGCCCCACCTATAGTACGGGGTTAAGCCTATTCCACTTTCTGTTCAGACTGGTTTTTACCAAAGTGGGCTAAAGTTGGCTAACCCCACCTATAGTACGGGGTTAACTAACCCTGCAAAATAGCAGGGCTAACTCCGCAATTGTGGTGCTAACTCCTGCTAACCCCGCAATTGCGGTGCTAAGCAAATGAATGAGAACAGAAACAAAAAATAGTCCGGTACTACGCAATGGAGCGTATCGCAGCTGGCCAGATGCGAAGTATGTCCAATAATAACATTCACGATATCCGGGGTTAACGAAATGCAGTGAGAACAGCGGGAATTTTCTTATTCCGGAATAGGCGCTAGTACAGGACTAAAAACAGCAAGTGTGAAAAGCCAAAAAAAATAGTCCGGGGTTAAGGATAGTACATGTACGGGGCTAAGCAAAGTACGGGGTTAAGCAAAACCAGTGTGAAAAGAGTATTAAAGATACATGTACATTGTATCTAGGCCTACAGGTATACCTGTAATGTAATCAATACAGAGATGACTTGAATTTGTTTATTTACAATGTACATGTAGTCAAAACTTTGAACTGATCAATAATGCCCGTATAAACAACAGCTATCAAAAAGAAAGACATACTGTACTGTACATGTATAAAGAACAGCTACCCACAGCTAAGGCCACAGGAATCAATTTTGATTTGGTTACATGTATTTATTTGTTCATAATCCCCTTTTGGCCTTTGCTAAACTCAATAAAGCCATAGTAGCCTTGCATGAATAGTCTTTGGAATGTGCAGAGTATAATAGGCACTGTTACAGGTACATGTAAAGGGAAAATAATAATAGGCAAGCTGGTAATGACTGAGCATGATTAACACAGCTTGAGTTTAGACATCCTTTCTGCTTTCAGGGGCTACTTCTGTGTGTTTCATGTGTCACCTCAAAACATGTATACAGGTACATACAGGTGTACATGTACCCTGTAACTCAAAAAAGGAAGAAGTTAAGTTGAATTGAAAATTTGAAATGGTATTTATTTATGGCAGCCAGGGGCTTAATTGCATGGAGTTTTCAAGGTAAAATCACAAGTATTGGTATCTATTACATGTATGTCAGCTGTGCATAAATACCACTCCATGTACTGTAGATGTACAACAAAACAAAAAGCAGCATGCAAGAGGCCTTCCACAGAAAGCAACAAAAACATAGTACCAGACTACTGGTGAAACGTAAATAAAACCACAAACTCTATAAAAACATTTGACAGGCTGACCTGAAAAAGTTTCAAGTTCATGTCTGTGAATATCTCTTTAAACAAGTACATCAACATTGATATCCATGACTCTGAGGTGTTCTTAAAATTGTTTTGATGATTTAATAACTTACTCCATTCACATTGATGTATTTTTCACATGTATAGTAATTTGTAGGTTTATTTGTAATTTCTGGTTTAATTGTTTGTCATTGTATTTTGTTTGCATAGCGCTTTAATAGAGACTTTGGTGGCAAGCACTTTATAAGCACTGTTTTATTGTTATTATTATTATGTTATACCTCTCGGTGCACATACTTTACAGTAACTACCTTGTACATACACATGTATGCACAGTACATGTACATGTAAGTCTGCTCTAAAACACTTCTTACTAGGTTACATGGTTGTGTACCAGAAGTAAAATTAAAATAGGGGAGAACAAAAAGACCAAAACAGAGCAAAAAAGGAATTAAGGCAAATACAGTACATAACATAATTACGATTCCACAAAGACTATTTTGTGATAGAAATTAGTGAGTGGTAAAAATAACTATTTTTAAAAGCTTCTGGCTTTCTGCAAAGTTCTTCAGAATTTGAGGTTGGCTGCAAAAGGGACAAAGTACCTTTAATGATGCTTGCAGATCTGTAATATACAGAACCATTTCAACAGAAGGGAAAGACCGTCATTGGTACTACTGTACATTGTTCATCAGTCTTGGACCCCCATACCAATGACCTCATATCTCAAGTTGAACTTGAAGTAGTGCAAAGAAGGGCTGCCAAATTTGTCAACAGTGACTACGGCAGACAAAGTAGTGTGACTTCCACTGCAGTTGAAACTTGAAAGATCTTGCATGGAGTACAATTTTTAAAAGGAGAAGGATTGCTTGTAACGTTTCTCTTTTAACTAGAAGATCACAAAATGAGTCTCTTACATTAAAATTAGTTGAAAGATTTCTTCAAATTATCATTCCTTCCGAAATCACTTACAAGTTTATTACAGACTGGAATTCTTTATCACCATCCATACTTAACATTCAAAATCCAAACATAAACGTGTGAAACCATATTTTCAATTGTTACGTCATGCACACACCGGCCCAGGCTGCCCTTTTTCACTATACGAGGAGTGTTGAGCCATTATTATTTTCAGATCCAGATAGGGCCTACATAGTACATACCGGTACATTTTTGTAAATCTACATGTACATCTGTACAGTAGATCTACATGTAGATCTACAACTAGTACATGTACTACAACAGGGCTGTTTGGGAAAAATTACATTCTTTATACTTCTCTTAAATGCTATGCTACATACAAAAATACAATTTAAACATTAACATGTAATTGGCAAATTTTTGCTGTCTAGACTCTATGCATTTGTAATGAACAAATTGAAATTGACAAAGACTTGAAATTGAGAAGACATCAAAATAGATGTGAAATGAACTTGGATCTAGACCTAGATCTAGGGCCTACTGAAAAGTGTACTAGTCTAGATCTAATAGACCCTAATAATTAAGATAGATCTAGAAATAATCTAGTAGTAGGTCTAGTACTTGCCTTGCCATTGGTGATATTTAACAATTGACGGATTTATCATTTGGATAAATCATCTGTTTAACTCAGCTCACTAGCTATAAAAGTATAATTTAATTTTTACACTCAAAATCAAATGAAGTTAGTTTTCTTACAATTTTAGTAGTTTTTGAATTTTCTAGGCCTAGTCTACTCATTATTATATTTTGTAAAATTGTACAGACTACAGGAGTCATGGATGTAATAATTTAATGTTCCTTAAAAAATTGCGCTCCAGGTTTGGACGACTGTATCAACTTGATCAATATGACAACAACTTGTTTGAAAAAGAAGCTATGCTACAACATGTATGTATTGACTACATGTATGTAGGTCCAACTAGTTTTAAAAATAGTCTTCCACATCACTGTACATATATATCTGCACAAAAAATACGAAGAAACACAAACAACATGGTGGCCTGTAGGGTCTACTTCAACAGAAGAAGAAGAAGGAGAAGAACCTGGCGCCGCGCTGGTCGCATAGCCCAAAAACTACGAAGTAGCGACGGCGCCTTGGCCTTGCTCATCGGGGAGTTTGTGGCGGCGCAGCTGGAGCAACTTACCCAATAATACGGAGGCCAATAACGGCAAACGCCGCGAGATGGATTCGAAATTCATATTGTTATTTCGTCTACTTGCAAATGTCTCTTTTGTTAAAGTCCACAACAATCGAAATTCCACTAAATAAAATTGGTTAATGAAGAAAAATGGGTAGCCAGTAGAGATTATCCATTATTAAAATGTCCACATTTCATCAAATGTCCGGTTTCGGTTCCACATACCGTTACGATGATGCTGTGATCATCGGTCATCATGCATGTAACCACAAAATTTAGTTTTCGCGATCAGATATCGAAGTAGCCGTTTTACAGATTAATATATTCTCAATCTCAATTGATTTAATTATTTAATTTTAAAAGTGAATATTTGACACAAAATATCATTTTTAATTTATTCAATATTAAGGTTGACTTTTTCCTTATTATTTCATATAAAATATTGCCAGATTTAAAAAATATTAGTCTACATATCGGCAAAGTACGACACGTGATTAGACTTGCTAAATTCCACAAAGTTAGAAGACGGGTCACGCCCATCACCCCCCCCCCTTCCCCTCCCCCTTCTTGTCGTAGCCAGAGTTTGATGTTGGGGGGGGGGGGGGGAGGGGGGCACATACATGTAATCGATCGACGTCCTGGGGAGTGGTCTAAAAAAGTTCAACCGATCTTGGATTTTTTTTGGGCCATGGGAAAGGTGTCACCAAATGGGGTATACCCCCTCTCAGCTCTTACATTTTTTCTCAAAAGAATAGAAAACGGAAAATGGGGGGGGGGTACTCACGTATATTAGGTATACGGGGATGTGCTGCTCGGAAGGGTGACTTTTTCAGGAAAGATCCTTAGACATTGGTCCCCTTTTCATTAAAAAAAAATCCTTAGACATGGGTCCCTATTTTCATTTATTCCTTTCCCCTCTTTTCTCCCTCATTTTCTCCGGGATTTTGGGATTTGCTCCTTAATTCTCGAGCCTACATCTCTCCCATCTCTAAATAAATCCGGGGCCTAAACTCTAGTTATTGGACCTTGTGTGTATTCATCATTGTATTTGAAAAAGCTCTCTTTGAAAGTGTACAAAGAAAGTACAAGAATATTGGTTAAAGCATAGAGTAAATATAAAGGAAGTATCTTGCCATATGAAAAGGAGTGTATAATTTTTTTTTATATTACCGGTAGGTCATTTGATATACATTTATCAAATAGGAGTGAAATACAGATATAGTTGTTGCCAATTTGAGGACGAAATCCTGACTCATTTAAACCTTTCAAAAACTCTGTACCTCTGTGGGTTAGAACAATACAGGCTTCAATCAGATGCAAACCTCTATACCTATTGGCCCTTGTGTGTATTCATACCCGTATTCATCATGTATTTTAAATAGCTCTGTTGTGAAAGTGTACAAAGAATTAAAGTACAAGAAAGGTGCATTTTAGTGAACATGAAAGGTAAATTATATTGAAAAGGGGTGTATAAATGGTTTTATACTAGGTGCAAAAAAGATTCTGGTGTACTTTGAAAAATCTTTTAATTAAAACAGGTAAAGTCCTTCAATTAAAACAGATGCTAGAGGTGCTAGCACAGTAAGCGCATATTATAATTATGTTGCATGGTGTTTTCATCTTTATGTGTGTAAACTACTTGTAAACTACATGTAGTATGGTACAGTCATAGAGATATATACTACTTACAAGTATATATCTCTATGGGTACAGTTTAATACTAAAGAATTGTATCGAGAAACTGCAAAATGATTGGCCATTGTGTTATTACAGCTGAAGAAGTGAGCATTATTTTTTTTCATTTTTTTTTTATTCCCGAAAAGTCGCTCAGTGGAGAGGGGGGGGGGGGGGGGGGGGGGGGGTAGTGAGCCCATTTTTTTTTTTTGGTCCTCGGAATTTTAAAATTTGCACCCCCCCCCCCCCTTGGGCGCCAGGGAGGGGGGGGCCAACCCCCTAAAAAGGTGTTTTTACATGATTTTTTTCTCAAGGGCGGGGGCCCGGGCCATTCCCTGGATCCGCCACTGCCCCTCCCCCTGTATAGTAATTCTTTTTTTTCTTTAATTGTTGTTGTTCCTGTAAAGGTGGTCTGTGTTTAACAAGCTGTGCTTTTTTTTTTATAGACCACTGTGACCTCTTTTCCACATTTTCAACGTCTTTATAACTTTTTTGTTATTGTTAAAGAATTTATTCTAGTGGACGATGAAGTTGTTATTGTTCATTAATGTATTATGTAAGTGGAAAGAAATAAATAAATCTTGAATCTTGAGAAGAAGATTATCTTTTTTTAATTTCCATTTCAATTCACTGATTGTACCCAGAAAGGTTTGAACAACTATTGAGAAATATTGATTCAGGCCAGGAAAGGGCATTTGGTATAGGAAAAAGAGAGATTATTTTTTTTGCCCGTCTTTTTTTTCTTCCAGGGGGGGGGGGGGGGGGCAAGGCACGCTCGACCCCCTGGGTCCGCGCCTGCACCCCCCCCCCCCCCCTCTCTCTCTCTCTCTCTCTCCCTTCTCTCTCTCTCTCTCTCTCTCTCTCTCACTCTCTCTCTCTCTCTCTCTCTCTCTCTCTCTCTCTCTCTCTCTCTCTCTCTCATCCTCTCTGTGTAGCTATCTATATGTATGTGACTCTCTGGCTCCTCCAACTTCTATTCCCTGCATTATCCTAAACGTTACGATTCTCAACCATTTTGGGTTATTGTTGCATGCTGCCCTCTCTTGGCAAGATGGCGAAGAATGAATACGGGAATAAAGACTTATCTTGGCAAGAAACATGTATGGCGAAAAATGGATACGGGAATAAAGACTTATTATGCACCCGTCCTCAATAGTCTCGGTGGTGGTTCAACATTCATGAATTTCAGGTGTTATGTGTTTGTTTTTAAAGCCACCTGTACTATTTATACAGGTTTGGAAAAATAATGTTACAAGGCAGGCGCGGATCCAGGATTTTCCAATAGGGGGGCCGGAAATTTGGAAAGTGTGCAGACCATTTTTACAACTCAACATACCAATACTGACAAGGTCATATCAGAAGCACCATACCGGTACAATTTTTGACATTTTCATCGGGGGGGGGGGGGGGGAGGGGCTAAAGCCTCTTTCATGACAAAAGTTTTATTAAATTATTAGAGAAAGAAGATGATTCGTTATATTCTCGACTCTAAAATAATCCTTGTCTGAATTCAGTTTTTCCCCGCCCGCCCGTAGCGCGTAATTTTCGGACGCTTTATTAAATTATGAGAGAAAGAAGACCATTCGTTGTACCATTCTCGACTCTTAATCCTTGTTTGAATTCAGTCTTTCCCCTTCCCGCGCGAAGCGCGGCAGCTTTGACGTTTCATTAAATTATTAGAGAAAGGAGAGGATTCGTTGTACCATTCTCGAATCTCGATCCTTGTCTGAATTCAGTTCCTCCCCCCCCCCCTTCCCGCGCGAAGCGCGGAAGCTTTAACTTTCCATAGTTTAATGATATTGTTAGAGGAAGAAGATGATTGGTTGTTCCATTCTCGACTGTCCTACTTGTAGCTACCTGCTCCCTCTATATAGAAAACTTCCCCAATCGGTGTCTTTTGTTCCCCCATGATCCTCTTTTTCTTACGTTAAATGAGAGCTGAGTTAATGAGATAGCCACCTGTCACAGTGACCTTGCTGGCTCGCTTGGTGGTCTAACCCCTTCTGGCTGAAGTAGTAAAGCCTGCCTTTAATCCTTCACTGAATTCAGTCCCCTCCCCCTCCCGCGCTAAGCACAGAAGCTTAACGTGTCATTAAATTATTAGAGAAATAAGACGATTCGTTGTACCGTTTTCGGAATTTTCAAAAATATTTCTTTGTCTGCTCCTTTTTTGTCTTATGTCCTTTTACTGCCCCTACCGCCCTTGGCTACACGCCTGCTTTAAAGGGAACATGAATCAATCATGATTGTGATAGCACACAATTAGGTTAGTAGAAACGAAAGGAAAAAAATATCTATTACACCAACCATGGATAAATCACGGCCGGGAGCGTCATATCATATCATATCATTTAATAGTTTTGTGTTATCGGGCGAGGGCCGGGGCGTAGCGACCAAGCGAGATTTTGCAATGTTGAATGCTGAAATTATGCATTCTAGAAAATCCCTAAGCCCAATAATTCTTTCCGCTATATGTCTTTCTAGCTGTATTTTTAAATTTCCAGGGCGACGTGTCCCCCTATCGGGCCCAGGATCGCCGCCCCTGCCCCTGTCCATGTACCTGTGTTGGCTAAGTCAGTAGAGCGTCCGCATCACAACCGGGAGGTCGAGGGTTCGAACCCCGGCCGCGTCATATCAAAAGACGTTAAAAGACCTTGTTTGGCGTTCAACAATAAGGGATAGAGCAATGTCGATCTGGCGCTGCTCAGTGGCTGCCGGGCTCACGATCAATTGGGCAAAAAGAATTTCCATTTTCGGTTTAACTTAATAAAAGATTACAAAATATGGACTATAAAAGATTATTATTATTATTATTATTATTATTATTATTATTATTATTATTATTATTATTATTATTATTATTATTATTATTATTATTATATGCTGCTTAATGGTACGGGTATTTCCACATACCCATGTATTGTCCAACTCATATTGTCTGAGCTTGGCTTCACGCACATCTTCCTGACGTATACAAATAAAACGAATGAGATAGATGTCTATAATAGTTTTTGTTTGAAGAGGTTTATACGCAGGATATTTTCAATAATATGTATACTACTCTCGATCACATTATAACACCGGCTTTTAGCCCTGCGGCCATGATAAGCATTGAAGCAATCTATCTCTTCCTACCGGGTACCCATTTATTTCACCTGGGTGAAGGATGGCAAATGTAGATTGATGTTTTGCCGAAGGACATTCGCGCTGTGGCAGGGGTTCGAACCCTAATATTTAACTCTTTGTTAATAGTGCGTTTATTTATCCAATAATCAAACTACATAGTCTCCATCTATATTAGTTTATTTTACACAAGGTCGCAGCCACCGTCTATTAAAGTGTAAATGACGAGACGAAATAGTAATGACGGCAATTTCTAATGACAGTTATTGAATATGGTTGAAGACATAAATATCTACAGATTCAAGTTGGAAGATTGTTTTACAAGTTTCATCATTTTTTAATTTTTTTTTTTTGGATTTGATTTGATTTATTTTTCACTCAAATATCCACAAATTAAATGACATATATAAACCATACAATAATACAATATATAATAGAACAAATGAATTATAG